TAGGCTTCATAGATTATTTGGAAGTCCATGCGAGTAATACGGGAGACGGTGCGTCGGATCACCCGTAGAATGGCGAATGCCTTTTGGGCCGATTTCTCGTAGTGCAGTGAGAAGAAAAATTTTGAGGAGACCCAGATGCCCGAATCCTCTTTGGCATCTATCCTCATGATGTTTTTTAGTCCTTTCTCACCATGATGAAATACGATTCGGTGGTGGTCGATGACCATGAAATTTCGTTCACCTAAACAAAATGCTATGAGAAGCATATCGCCGAGACGTGCAAAGGGATTATACTAATTCTCCCTAAAAGTCGCAACTTGGAAACCACATTTTCTCCCAAAATAATTTGGGTTTAACTCTAGTGAGCGGCCCAACTTTCATAAAATTCGAAACATCAAAAACTCATAGTTTCCGCGAGATCAGTTTTGTTTCGCTTCTAGTGAGCGGCAAAAACTAGTGTGAACAAGGAACTCCGCCTAAGCTGTCGCGGAATGACACGCCTCGGGCTGGAATGGTCAACTGCTGTTTGGTCATTCGTTGAACCAATCAGTGACGGCCGACGCCTTTCGCCTACTGAGCCAATCACTAGACAATGACTGGGCGCAGTACATTTAACGGAAGAAGGGCACCACAAATACAGCGGTGTTCCTCGTCGTTTTGTCTTCGTCTACCGGTGCTTAGACTTGTTTTTTATAGTTCACAGGAGAGACCCAATCAAATCCAAGCTGAATTCCTTATTCATGATGGTTCCTGAGACGATAATTTCCCTTCAAGGCTGAGCTCACAAGTTTTCACCGTTGACGAATCCGAAACATGGTGAGGACATGAATGTATTGAACAAAATGTCCGTGGTTCGAACTCGACATATGCTTCCCGATTTTCCCTGTCTAGGCTTGGGCGACCTGGCAGTATATTAGTGCTTCCTGCTGGTGGTAGGCAGTTAGGCGCAGAAAGCGTGCTACAGCTGAACGAATTTTGATTTGATTTCTGACACAACTGCTGGGTCATTTGTAGGTCCCACATTTCTGTCCAAGGAGAAGGTGTTCGATTTATTTTCCTGGCGGTGTCCCCTGTGCATTACTAGCACGTTTTTGTTTTTCCGGGTGGGTTCCAGCATCGAGGTTTGTTTTCGTATGACCCATTGGCGGATTTCTGACTTACAGCCGTTCCTCATTTTACTAAGTGCCAACCCGTCTTCTGTATCACCTGTAGTCATTATCATCGACAGCATGACATCAGTGCTCACCGATGTTTTGCTGCCGTACAACCATGATCTATTTGGAAGCCTTATTATGAAAAAAAGAATAATGATATACAAGGAAGGAACTTGGTGCTAG